ATGAAAGAGGAACATTAACACCTATGCCTATTGTCCTGCGCGCTCGATACAGCACTGAACTGTCCCTCCAACCCCCCACCGGCTATCGGAGTCTGAGGCTGATTTAACACAAAGAGAAGTCGCAATTCACACTTAAATCGCTATTCTAGACAGTGTTGATAATGAAGGAATTAAATGATTTAGTTACATGTAGCCTAGTGATATTTCTATCATAAAAGTGTATTACTAAATATTTCATTATTTCAGTAATTGATGAAATAAAACTGGTTTGGGCCAGCTTTTTCCAAGCAAAACTAAATATAATCTGAAAAAAACGCATGTTAATTTGTTTTCATGAACAAAATGTTCAACTCAATATTAAAGTCTACATGGATCTTTGGATCCTTTCAACCAGGCATGCAATTTGTGAATTAAGTTTTTTATTTTTTATTTTTTTATTCAAATAAATATCGAACCACGGTGCTTTGTGGTAATGCTGCTAAATTAAATAACATGTATTGAATAATTATGAACTTAAATGAAACAATATCGCAACATTTCGACAAATACATTATTTGATCTGTTTTTACATTTTAATTCAGGGCGATTTAGCCTGCTACATTTAATTAGAGCGAGATTTTCACCCTTGTCATTTTCTCATTGGGAAGCGCTTACAGGCTACATGTTTGAGTACATCCTCTGTACCTCTCGTTTTCATATGGATTACATAATCAGATAACATTTATTAGCCAGAATATTTAGACATTTAAAGGCTTTAGACAGAGCCGATTTCTTATAGTGACTGAGCTGAAGTGGCTTCGGTTCATTTTTGTGACGCGCAGTTCCCGGAGACAGAGACGACAGATAAACTGTTTTTGTCGTTAGCAAAAGTTCGAATAAAACCCGACTTTAGAAAAATGCATAGGGCCACTCGGCGTGGTCTGCCAAAACACTTAATTATAAACTTCAATATTTCATTCAAAATAATCTCAACACGCTTTGTAAAATTTTGAAAAGCCGTGCATGCATTAAGGCCACTTGAACTAATGAACAACTGAAACGCTGGTTTTGATTTTATTGTTTGTCGTTGTTTAAACGTGCTTGTTGCATATCTCTATTTTATATTTGATATGGTCTATTGGTGAAGTAGCCTATAGCATTGATTACTGTGGAGGGAGGGGTGTGGGGATTCAAATAATTCAGCAGAAGCAGGGATGTTTAGACCAGAAGGAAATCCCCGTCCCCCCTGGCAAATCACACTTTACTTAAAACCATGTTTTTAAAAACTCTAGGTTGTAGGGAATCAAAATAATAATGATAATAATAGGCCTAATAAAAAAAAAAATATATATATAGGCTATATATGTAAAATTACTTTTTTTACAGAACTGCTTTTGAAATTACGATTGGTAGCCTCGTACGATTGGTACAGATGCAACGTCGTTGTGTTCGATACTATTGTTCCTAGTGTAAAATGGAAATGCATGGTAATTTTATTTTATAAATATAACCAAAAAACTGTATGGCGTAACAGAGTTTTAGAGCTAGACAAATCTCTCTGCATTAATAAATATAAAATTTGCAGTAGACCATGTTTGATCGGGATTTGAACCCGTGTCATCTTGATGATGAACCGTAAGTTCTACCGCTCGGCTATTAATTTCCTCACTGAGAAATGCCCAAACGTTTGTTTCTCACATGAGCGAGAAAACGTTTTGTCGTTAGCCTGTGTGAGTGTAGGCCTACTTTAGCCTACATGAATAAAAGTAGACCTTTTACAGTTTTAAAAGATGATATCTTATCTGTATGACCAACAATTACGCAGTAAGTTCTTTTAGCTGTTATGAGAAAAATAAATCCAAATGAACGCGCCGCCGCGTTTGTCAAACTCTAATTCAACATGCCAGAATAAAGCCAGATTTTAGAATAATGCATAGCCACTCGGCGTGGTGTGCCAAAATACCCTAATTATAAACTTCAATATTTCATTCAAAACCATCTCAAAACGCTTTGTGACATTTTAAAAAGCCGTGAATGTATTAAGGCCACTGGAACCAGGATCGTAACTGAAACGCGCTGCATGTCTCAATACAGGAGCGCTGGTTCAGATTGTATTGTTTGTTGTTTAAACGTGCATGTTGCATATTTAAAAATATTTGTTTAAAAATAAATGTTTGTTGTAGGCTTATTTGTAAATTACCATAACTTGTAGAATTTCATCCTTACTGTTGTTAATTGACATTAGCCCCACTTACGTTTTGATAAATGTCCCTTTGCGCCACCTGGCGGTCATTTCGCGAGCGACTTTGAAATGCGACTGGTTTATTTTTATTGTATTGGTCTACTTTAAAAAATAATACTTTATAAGACATTTATGGGAAAAGACTATTTTCTTTTCAAGATGTTTCCAACTGTAACTTTGAACCAATTCTGTAGAATGGCCCATATAGCATTTGACCAGGATTTGTTTCCAGGTATGACTAAAAATGTGCTTTTGGCTTTCATTTATATTTTGATTGTTTGTATATATATATATATATATGTGTGTGTTTGTGTGTGTGTGTGTGTGTGTATATATATATATATATATATATATATATACACATGTAGGTTATATATATATACAAGAAAGAATGCAATGACAAAATATATATATATATATATATACATGTAGGCTATATATATATATACAAGAAAGAATGCAATGACAATATATATATATATATATATATATATATATATATATATATATATATATATATATATATATATATATATATATATATATTGTCCTTACATTCTTTCTTGTGTGACACCCCTGAATGAAAGGCTCATTATTATGCAGGGTCACTGTCTGAGAACCACTTAATTATTCATGATAGGGGTTGGGCCGTTCCGCCCATCCGCATATTGCCTTGGCAAACAAAAAAATGTTTTTCACAATTTAAAACAATCTATTGTTTTATGTGAATGATTAGGAAGGATGATTTTCAGATCATTTTGAAGCAAAAACTCTAGGCAACAACGTACATTAGTCAAAAGTCTTGTGGACTCATATTTAGTATGTTTTTTGTGTCCTTATTTCAAAAACTTTATTTTTTAGTTTTTTCAATAACCACGCATAAACAATATTCTCTCAAAAATACAAACATGTACATACATGTTGCTCACACATTATGGTAGACCTGTTTGTGCTAAATAGAGTTTAATTTCACCTGTGCCATTAATATGTTTATAAGCAACTGAAAAAAGCACAAATGTCAGAGCATGTCAAAACATCCAAAGGGCCCCAAAAACACTCTGGTCCCCAGAGGGTTAATAGACAAGGTAAAAACTTCTTCTTTTTTTTTTTATGTGATCACCAATTTCCTTTAAATATTTTTCTATCTGGCCACTTAATCTCAATTCTATATATCTTGTTAAATAGAAATTATATTGTTGTGGTAAATTTAGTTGACTTTCGTCTTTCGTCATAATGGGATACACCGTTTAAACCTGGGCTCAGCCAGTTTTTTCTCTTCTCTTCTCTTTTTTTTCAACAGATCTGGAACATTTTAATTTCAGAACACGTTCCAAAATCTTATCTTAAAAAAACGCACAAAAATGCTTTATTTTACACATTAAAAAGGAAAACAAAAACTGAAGTCTGTGTGTCCTACCTTAATAATTTTAAGTCCTTTTAGTCCGTCTGGAATGGGTCCCTCTGTCGAACAGGGTTCTGCAGTCTGGCAGAGTGAAGACAACATGGTTCCTCGTCCCCGTCCATCCTGACAGAGGGAGATTCCGAGGACTCCTGGATTGGCTCGCCAAATTGTGATGGATTTTTTCTTCCCTAATGCTAACCTATAATCTGACTATCCGCTTTCCTAAAATGCTCAAGCTCTCTACGTCCCTTACGACGTCTTTAGCTTACTCAAGCTCTATACGCTCCTTACGACGTCTCTAGCTTACTCAAGCTCCCTACGTCCTTTACGACGTTCCTAGCTTCGAGTTTTCTGAACTACTCTTACTCAAGCTCTATACGACCCTTACGACGTCTCTAGCTTCGAGTTTTCTGAACTACTCTAAAACCCCTTTGCTGCGCAGCTTTAATGACAGACAGACTTCAGTAAATGTCCTTTAGATGCTTTTAATTACGGCCAGGAGTCTCGAGCAATACTCAGAGAATCTCCCAAGTAAAACCAAGGCCGGTGGATCTCAGACAAATTCCATTGAGAATCCCACCGAAAACACGGAAACAACAGTTTTTATACAATAGGGAGGTATGGCATAATGACATTCATTTGATTGGTTATTCCTTCTGTTACTGGGTAAGAATTTGTTTTAACGATTACTTCATTGATCACAAGTTCTAACTTAGTCATCTGTCTAGTCTCATTTCCCATATTTGTTATTTATACACACAGTCAGGAGTTCGACACACAGTCAGGAGTTCAACACACAGTCAGGAGTTCGACACACACACATTCATGTAGAATACAGAACGTCCTAGAACATGGTTTTTAGAGATTTAGCAGGTTAAACAAGGTCAAATATTAAAACATGGTTTTCTTAATATTCAGTTTAAATTTTCCACCACAATATTTATTAATACATGTAATGTGCTGGGCTCCATACAAAATATGCGGACAAAATATATATGTATACGAAATACATACTTTTTCCCCCATGTCACGTGCGGGGCTCCGTAATTTTGTATATTAAATACTTTCCATAAATAATACTTTTAAATAATATTTTTTTATTATATATTTATATGATTGTAATATTGCATTACATTTGTTATATTTTATATATGTGTTATATAAATGTATATGTGTGTGTGTGTGTGTATATATATATTTTTGTATAATATTTTTAAATGATGAAATATTAAAATATTATTTAAAAAAATATATATTTTATAAATGAATTTACATACATACATACATACATGCATAAATAAGCGACTTGAGTGTCATATTGTAAATATTGTAATGGACAACCTCATTTGTATCACCTTGAATGCCTTGTATCTGCAGACGAAGACATGCAAGAACGAGCAAACATCCTTGTCACGGAGCTGTTTGATACAGAGCTGATCGGAGAAGGCGCGTTGCCCAGCTATGAACATGCACACACACACCTTGTCAAGGTAAATAAATACAGTTGTAAATTGCAGTTATGCATTTTGCTGTGTCTTTTAAGTGTTTAATGCTAATGCTGCTGCTCTCACTGGCATAGGCAGGTTGTGAAGCTGTGCCACACCGTGCCACGGTCTATTCCCAGCTGGTGGAGTCGGATATGCTGTGGAAATGGTCACAGATCCAACCCATAGAGGTGGATGGGAACAAACTGCTGCCCTCTTCTGCTGTAGTGGAGTGTACAGGAGCGCCCTCTGTCTGTGACATCCAGCTTAGCCAGGTGTCTCCAGAGTCTTTCACTCCCCTCGGGCCCATCTGCACCATGTTCAGGTATACGTTTGGATGGTAGTTCAGCTCTCTAAATTAAAATGGGCCATTTTTTGCATAATTAACTGGTGTCTTTTTCCACTCTAGTGTTGATTTCAGCAAGCCGGTTAGCAGTGCTGCTCAGTCCTACACGGCACAGTTCAAGGCCCAGACCAGCGGGAGAGCACAGGTAGTCTTATCCTGGTGGGACATCGACATGGACCCTGATGGCAACATTGTGTGCACTATGGCCCCTAGTTGGACCTATTCAGAACCTCAAACTTACCCTGTAAGTACTGGTGCTTAGCTTAATGCTTAAACTGGTGCTTAGCTTAAACTGGCTGCTTATATTAATGAGCGAATATCAAGAATCATCTTACTTGACATTAGTTTTTGAATGTCACAATGCTAAAAAAATTACAGTATTCATTTACAATAATATAAAAATTTGGGGTGGAATGTCTTTGGAAGAGGCCCCTCTAATACCAACACTGTATTACTTTGACTTGGTATAAATATATTTGATAATATCTTGCATCATGTGATGTACAGTGGAGGGATCACTGGATGCAGAGTGTCTACTTCCTCCCTGCAGAGAAGAATGTTTCAGAAGGAGAAGAGCTGAGCTTAATCGTCTCCCATGATGACTATAGTCTGTGGTACAACCTAACGAACAGGTAAAGATACTTTCAATCAGTGTTTTAGACATATAACATGCCCTCGGTTTTAAACGGAACTGTCTATGAGGAAGACAGTATTATATTTTTGACAGTCTGTCTTTTAGTGAACAAAATGTTGTCAAAGAGGCGCAGTTTCGGCCATCCTGCAGCTGTCAGGCCCACCTGGTCTGGACGAGGCCTCGCTTCGGGGAACTAAACGACGAACAGAGGACCGAGAGTTATGTGAACGCATTACGCAGTGTAAGTTCTACTTTTACATTCACTGTTGATTTCCACGTGAGCTTGAAGTGCTGCTTTCTGGCGATGGCTCATAATTTAGTGTGTTTGCTTGTATGCTTGCAGATTCTGAAACCAGACAGTGTGTGTTTATCTGTCAGTGATGGGAGCCTGTTACCTATTTTCGCTCATCTGCTTGGATCTAAAAAGGTGAGTATCCCAGGTTTTTGCTTGAGTCTTAAGATTCACAAATTTAGGTCTGCTTCAAAACCTGGTGATCTGCCTTCTCCCTACACAGACAGCTGCCTTCTGAGGCAGCATCATGGAAACTCATAATTCAATTGAGGCCTTGCAATTGACCAACAGTGTTTGATGATAGCATGATAGTAAGCTAACAATTCAATATTGGCTAAATAATCTGTTTTAAATGAAAATGGACTATTTTTAGTGAGTAAATTATAAATTAAGTAAACTAAAAGCATCTCTATGCACTACACGACTTAGTTGATTTCAGTAGAGTTGGTTGTTAGCATGTTGCTAAGATAATGATGCAATATTAGCTCAATAATTTCTGAGTAAAACGGAACTATTTTTATTGAGTACGTTATAAATTTTAAGTAAATAAGCAACTACACGATTTTCAATTGAATTGAGTTTGATGTTAGCTTGTTGCTAAGCTAACAATGCAATATTTGGTATCTGTTTTAAGTGAAAATGAACTATATAAAACAAGTAAATTATACATTTTAAGTAAATTATTGCACTACAGAGTTTGATGTTAGCATGTTGCTAAGCTAACTACAGAAATAATCTCTGTATTCTGGGATTGTGTTTTCTGTGAAGGATAAATAGTGCTACCTTAAAATTTAACATTGAAAGCATACCTATGACGCCTTAAAATACTGTCTAGGTAGGCAGCTTACAAAGTTTTGAAACAGAACATACTGTATATGAATCTTTCTTTCTGTCTTTTCAGGTGTTCAGTTTGGAAAACTCTGGAATGGCAAAGCAAGTGATTGAACAGGTGAGATTTTGAAGCTAAAAAAATAATTACCTACATGAGTTCAGAATGGATTGGTACTGAAACATTTGATCTCCTGCTCACAGGTGCTACATACTAACTCACTGAAGCATGGTGTACAGCTGCTGGGAATACGACCTGAGCACCTCTCATTAGCTGATTTAGAAGGAAATCAGGTACCAACTAAGTACTAATATATGTACTTTACATGCATTTGTTGACTTGATTTGTTGATTTGAAGGCTCTGCAGAATCTGACTTTATCACATATTTTAGCAAGGATACATTCAATTGTGACAGTAAAGGCATTTATAATGTTTCTAAAGATTGTGAATTCAAACAAATGTATCAACTTTCCACAACAATATTAAGCAGCACAATTTTAGCATTGATTATAGTAAGAAATGTTTCTTGAGTAGCAAATCAACATATTTGAATGATTTCTGAAGGATCATGTGACACTGAAGACTGGAGTAATGACGCTGAAAATTCAGCTTTGCATCAAGGGAATTAATTATATTTTAAAATATATAAATTTTTTGATCAAATAAATGCAGCTTGAAATCTCCCTTCAGATTTCCGTATTGATGGGAGAGCCCTACTTCAGCACCAGTCTTCTACCGTGGCACTCTCTGTTCTTCTGGTATTGTCGCACCGCGGTTGCCCAGCTGCTTCTGCCCAACGCTGCCATCCTGCCTCGTGCTGCCACACTTTACATAACCGCTGTTGAATTTCAGGTCAATTATTTCTTTTGGATACATGTCGGATATATGTATTATACATTTGCAGACTAAATGACATTATACATTGTTTTATTTTGAATCAGGATCTGTGGCGAATCCGAGTTCCCTGCGGTACTTGCGAGGGCTTTGACGTCAGTCCTATGGATGAGATGATTCAGGTAAGTACTAGTTACAGGTTTTTGGTCTGAACTCAGTCTTGAATTTAACAATTAACATGAAATTTTAATGTTTTAAAGTTGATTAACATGCTTTTGGGATTAACTCCACCCACAGCGATCTTTGGATTTCCGTGAATCCTGGGAGGCAGAGCCACACCCACTCTGGGAATACCCTTGTCGTGCTCTAACAAAACCACGTCCAGTCATGACGTTTGACTTCACACAATGTGTTCCTGAGCAACCAATCAACAGTGAAGGAACTGTGCCATTCACAGGGTAAAACGAACAAATTATAACTATTATTATATTGCATTATACATAATATAATTATTATATAAGATAATAAAAATATGTATATTTCTAACAGAATTATGATATTAAATTATTATAAATATTCATTTATTTATAACAGACATAAATGTAATCAATTGTGTTTTAGCATGAATTTTAAATGCTAAAATTCAAATGAATCTCGCTGTTTATGTAATGTTATATTATATGTTAATACAATTAATGTTTATATTACTGTATAAAATAATATATATTAATATTGATTACCGTTCAAAAGTTGGGGTTAATAAGATTTTTGGAAAGAAGTCTCTTCTGCTCATCAAGGCTGCATTTATTTGATCAAAAAATACAGTAAAAATAGTAATATTATGAAATATTATTACAATTAAAAAAATGTTTTCTATTTTAACCCTCTGGGGTTGTTCGTTTAACAGTCACACTTGGGGTGTTCGGGTCCAAATGGACCCAAAGGGCAGGATTCATATTTTAAAAAAAAATCATAATTTTTTTTTTTTACTTGTTTTTTATAAAAAAATTTTTTTCTTTTTTGGTGTTTTGAGATATTTCATGATTTATAATTAATATTTATGCAATAATTATGACCCATTTTTTCCCATTTAACATAATAGATTTTTTTTTTTTTTTTTTTTTTTTTTTTATCAAAGCTGTATTACATTTTAGAGTGAAGCCTAGGCCTCATGAAAGCAATTTTTGAAAAAATATAGATGCCATCTGGTGGACACACTGAGCATTTTTATCACACAATAGCACATTTTTACCACTAGTGGATTTACAGCTCTCTGTAGAAAGGCTTGGGGATTCTAGTGATTTTTGCAAATATATACCAATTTTTTTTCAGGTTGTTGATTTTTAAAATATAATAACAGATTCTCAAAGACTATTTTTGTCTTGTTTTTTGTTTTTTTTGGTTGGTTTAAATGGTAATTTGAAGTGCCAGTTTTACTTTATAATCCAGATTATTATAAATATATAATACATTTCCAATGGGGGTCATTTGGACCCGAAGGTCCTAAGTGTGAGTATTTCTTTTTTTTTTACAACCACTTAGACTATTCAAATAGACTATTCTATTTGAATAGTCTGTGTTTTCATGTTGAATAATCTGTTTTCATATTTTCGACAATTTCACATTCATTTCCTATGGGGGTCCATTTGAACTCGAAGGTCCTGAGTTTGACTATTTTTTTTACAACCACTTAGACTATTCAGATCCTGTCCCCAATTTTTTTGTGTGTTCACATACCTAATACCATAAAGGTCGTAACATTCCGATTAAGCTGTGATTTTTAAAAATTCAAAACAGATTTATGTAATCTGAATTTATGAGTGTGTGTGTGTGTGTGTGTGTGTGTGTGTGTGTGTGTGTGTGTGTGTGTGTGTGTGTGTGTGTGTGTGTGTGTGTGTGTGTGTGTGTGTGTGTGTGTGTGAGAGAATGTGTCTGTTTTGCACTCTTGATGTTTTATAGATTCACCCCTTCACTGTTGTGTGCTTTTTTTATGGATTGTGGCTGATTTGTAGATTGTACGCACCAAAAAACTCGTTTTTTTCACATTTTTGCCAATTTCCCATTCATTTCCTATGGGGGTCCATTTGGACCCGAAGGTCCTGAGTGTGACTATTTTTTTTACAACCACTTAGACTGTTCACATCCTGTCCCCAATTTTTTTGGGTGTTCATATACCAAATACCAACAAAGTCACCAAATTTCGGACCATTCCGAAGAAGCTGTGATTTTTAACATTTTTTTATTTGAATGATTCGGGTCCATTTGGGCCGAACAACCCCAGAGGGTTAATGTATATGAATATATTAAAATGTAATTTAATTCTGTGATGGCAAAGCTGAATTTTCAGGAGTCAATACTCCACATGATCCTTCAGAAATCATTCTAATATGCTGATTTGGTCAAGCATTTCTTATTATTATGAATGTTGAAAAAAAGAGTAAAACTGCGAAACATTTCTTTAGGATTCTTTGATTCAAATATTTTTAAATACCGGCATTTATTCTTCCCTTCTTCATTATTTTCTACCATTATAAATGTCTTTACTGTCATTTCTGATTAATTCGATGCATCCTTACAGAATCGGAAGTATTCGTTCTTTTTTTTATCCTACTGACTCCAACTTTTGAGTAATGTAAATAATATATATATATATATATATATATACAAATATATATAATTATAAAAATACACCCCTAATAGATATTGTATATGTGGTGCTAGCTATAACAGCAGTGCTCTTGACTGATACTGATGTTTCAGGAGAGGACGCTGTCATGGTGTCGTTCTCTGGATGGAGTATCAGCTGACTGAGGACATCACCGTAAGCATGGGCCTAACCAAGCCAGTCAGTGAAGAGGTATTTGCTAAATGTTATCTTGTTTATTGTACAAACAATATCTGCATTCAGATGAAATGGCAGTCTTCATAAATATTCCTCAATAAAGTTGAAATAGAAATTCAAATAAGACTGTAATAATCAGGTGTCACTCTCCTGATCTATTCACCTGAATGTTTTTTTTTCCCCTCATTTAACAGGGAGCTTGTGTATGGAACCCACACCGGAAACAAGGAGTGTTCTTCTTCAGATCTGTGAGGGTAACTTCTGGGAATGGAAGCGAAGATCTTTCCTACAATTTAACCTTTGAACCTCATACTGGTGACATTAAAATGGACTTCTCTGTCACCGAACCTTGACCAATGACAATATTCAAGACTCAAATGAACTATGTCATCAGTTGTTAACGTTTATTTCCAAGACATTGCTTATCCAAAGAGTTTTAATGACTGTGAACTTCTAGATTCACAGTAGTGATGATTTCGTAACTTATCTAGACAATCTGATGTGTATTAATGCTTTTTAATACATCAGATCAGAGATATTACTTTGTGTCGTTTGCAGATTCATTCTGATTGCATACTATATGGTAACAGTTCAAACTGTATGGCACTACACAATTCCCATGATGCTTGTAGATTTGAAAATCATGCTTTTCCCCATTATTGTTGAATCACGGAAGCTACACCAGTTAGTTTTGCCAAGAGATTTATTATTTATATACATGTATCAGACAATATGAGAGAAACAGGCATATCAGAATAAGGCTACAGGTGAGGTGATCTTCATTCCAGATTTCTGTTCCCCATTTCTCTATCCCCTCATCCCATCATGCCAGCTGTAAATGGTTTCTGTTTTTCTCATCCCTCACCCCGTCATACCTCTGTTTCTCCTTCCTCTCACCCCATCATGCCTTTGTTTCTCTGAGTCAGTAAAGTAAGGATTGAGCTTATATACGCAAGCAAAACATGTTGCTTATGTTTAAAATGGAATGTATACCTCATTCTTACACATGGTGCAATCCACTTTCCACATTAAGAAACTATCCCACGGTGTATACTTTAGTGGTGCATTTTCATCAGTTGAAACATTCCTTTCCTTGTAAAGAACATCCCAACTGTAATGTATCATCATTAGTGGAACATCTTTGCTCGGTGAACGTTGCATTGCACGCAAAATATATAACTCATCCCATATCTCTCATCAGCACACATGTACAAACACACTATGACTTCACAAAATACATTATGAAAATGAATAAAGAAAAATAGTACTAAAAATGATATTAAACAGTACATTTTTAGTCTTCAATGCTGTTTAAAGTAGTGATGAGAATATGAAATAGGTTGAATATGCACTGATGAGCCAAAACATGACCACCTGCCTAATATGCTGTTCGTCATCCACGTGCTGCCAAAACCACAATGACCTGCCAAGGAATGTATTATATAAGACTCCCGAAGGTGTCCTGTGGTATCTGGTACCAAGACCTTAGCAAAAGATCCTGCAAGTTCTGTAGGCTGCGAGGGCGAGGCGGAGCCGCAGTGGACCAGGTGACCTTCTTCCACTGCTCCGAGGTCTAGTTCCGACGCTCGCGTAGGCACTTTTGATGGTGGACAGGGGTCATCATAGACACTGATTGGTCGCTGGCTACGCAGCAGAGTGTGATGCACTGTGTGTTGACACATTCCGCCTGTAACCATCATTAATAATTAGTGTGACTGTGTGCCACAGTAGACCTTAAGTTGGCTTGGATCAGACGGGATAGCCTTCGATTGCCCTTGTGCATTGATGAGCCTTGGGCGCCCGACACCCTGTCGCCGGTTTGTGGTGTGTCCCTCCTCAGACCTCTGTTGGTAAATACTCACCACTACTGACCGGGAGCAACCCACAAGCCTTGGCATTTCAGAGATACTCCGACCCAGTCGCCTTGCCATAAAAATGTGGCCCTTGTCAAAGTCACTCAGATCTTTATTCCTGCCCATTTCTCCTGCATCCAACACGTTGATTACAAGAACTGATTGTTTGCTTACCATCTAATCTACCTAGACCTAATATGTGGCCTTGTTAGGAGATGATCAACAAAATTCGTTCCAACTGTGACTGGACATAATGCTCTGGCTTATCAGTGTATCTGAATATATAAGGCAAAAGGCCATGTATTATTTTAACAAATTTTATTAAGCATATCAGTTTAGCTTAAAATAATCACATTACACTATACAGAAGGCAAACTGCTTTGGATTTTCAAATAAAACAAATTTTACTCAAAACAGACTTTCTTTGCTTATACATGAAGATGCGATATCATCCAGAGATTCATATTTTCAACACAGTGATCTCTGTGAATACTATTTGACATATTTAAATACTACAAATCTGATGGTAAGAGATGTTTACAACCGAACCATTCAATTGACAGAAATGACACTCTGTGAACGGTGTCCCTGTTGATTACACAGATGGAAATGTAATCTGGGCCTTGATGTTGCAGAATCATAACGGAATGTAATAATGTCTCAATTATCTAGTGTCTATGCATCGGCTATATCAGTGTTGGCCAGCAGAACCTTCTCTCCAGGTTTGAAGGCAGGCATGCCTATATATGGACAGCTGGCACATCGGAAGGCATCGCCCAGATAACACTAGAGAGGAAAAATAAGTCATAATTTCTACAAAACTTCCAAGTACAAAGAAATGATTTAATGATAGAAATACATACACTTCCACAGGCTGATTTGGGCTGGCTGGCTTTCTGAGCGGCTTTACTCTCCTGTTCCAATTCATCAGCAAGACCACAAGTGCTACAGACCAAGAACGGTCCTGTTAGTAGATGGATTCAATGTTTACACCTTTACATGTTGTTTAATTTGAGATAATCACCAGTTTTTGCAGGCTTTTTTCTTCTTTTTGGAGTCATCTCCACAGGAAGCCTTGAGGGAGGACGGGTCAGGCTTCTTCAGATCATCAGCATCTAAAAGTGCATCTGAATCCACCAAATCCTAGAGAAGTGAAGGAGCAAAACAACGTGCTGGGTATGGGTACTTCACAAAAGGCACAAGACTGAATAGATCATTACATACCACATCATCGTCATCAATATCATTGGCAGATAGAGTCCACTTTTGTGCAGTGTTTGGATCAAGAGCGGGTTTCTCTGCAGAAATCAAGTGAATTGATTTGCCCCTTTTTAATTGATTGATACATCAACATGAAACATCATTCAAAACCTTGTATAAAGCAAAACATGAGGCTTTTGACTGAATTTTCCGTTATTATAACTGTATAACACAACGCTTCCCCACCATTGACAGAATTCTCAAAGTGGAGATTTTTGTGGAAATGATCAAAAAAGCTGGCGGTGGATGGCAACTTTTTAAAATAAACACTGGCAGGGAAAGAGTTAAATTTTCCACTGCAAAAACAATCTATCTTTGAATAACGGTGTGAGGAATCATGCACAATAAGACCAGAATACGTCCATAGGGTCAATTATGACCTTGTGTTGCATTTAATGAGGAAGTGCTTAAAAACCACAGACCTGTCGTAGTTGTTTTCTTGCCAAAGGAAAGTTTCAGTTGCGTCGAGGATCCGACCTCAAAGTTAGGTTTAGATGCTGACATTCGCACCCTTGAAAGCGTGTTTCCCTGGAACCCTGAGCGCTCTCTCAGAGCTGCGGCTGCTTCTGGGCTCAGCGGCTCCATCTTCACCTGTGAAAATGAAACACACTTTAGTTTAGCTGACATGCAGACTTTAGGACCATTTGAATTTAATGCACTTTTTTATTTGCTCATTGTATTTTACAAAAGGTCTGTTTCAGTAGGCCATGATAATAATTTCAAAAAGGTTTGAAATTATTAATTACTATAAATAATAAAAAAACTGAAAAAAAGTCAATACATTTATATATTTATATGTTATATACTATCTCAGTCCTACACTGAATCAACTTAATAAAATCACTGAATGCTGACCTCTGTGACAGACATTAATCCACACAGTTTAAGAGCTGACATCAGTTTCCCAGCGGTCCTCACACTACTGTCTTCAGAACCTGAGAAGAAACGTTACAAGGCGAACCATCAGCACTGATTCAATCCACTTGAGGATGTTGTACAGACTGTGGCGTTCTCAATTCGATACCTGTTACTGGCTCTTCTAGCACAAGTTTCCCTCCAGGTTTCATCACTCTGGCGATCTCAGCCAGCATTTCAGAACTGTGGATTGGTGAGCTATCAGCCAGAAGGCCTGAGAGAACCCAGTCATAACTTGAAGCTGCATTAGAAGCTAAAACAGACAGATATGAGGTATGTTAACATTTTTGGGAGAATGATTCCTTTAATTCTTTAACTCAGGAATAAGAGTTTATTACTTGCAAGTCTCAGTCTGTGTACTTACAAAGTTGTAGTCTCTCCATGTTCTCCAAAGACACCAGACTCTGGTTACCAACAATAGAGCCAATAGTTTCAGCTAACTCCTTGAGTGCAGAGGGAGATGATGGCTGAGTCCATATCAGCAGCACCCTGTTCCCCTCCTTCAGTCCAAGGTCTGCCATCACCTGTTACCGGTAATACATATTTAAACATTTCTATTTTAATGCTTTTGAAAGAGGTCTCTTATGCTCATCAAGGCTGCATTTATTTGATCGAAAATACAGAAAAAAACAGTAATATTGGGAAATATTATTACAATTTAAAATAATGGTTTTGTATTTTAATATACTTTAAAATATAATTTATTTTTGTCATGCAAAGCTGATTTTTCAGCATCATTACTCCAGTCTTCAGTGCCACGTGATCCTCCAGAAATCATTCTAATATGCTGATTTATTATCAATGTTGAAAACAATATTTTTTTTACAATCTTTTAAGCAGCACAATAGAAAAACTATTTCCAACCTTGATAATAAATCAGCATATTAGAATGATTTCTGAAGGATCATGTGACACTGGAGTAATGGCTGATGAAAATTCAGCTTTTCATCACAGAAATAAATTATATTTTAAAGTATATTAAAATAGAAAACCATTATTTTAAATTGTAATAATTTTTTTTCCAATATTACTTTTGACAGGTACTGTGTATATATATATATATATATATATATATATATATATATATATATATATATATATATATATATATATATATATATATATATATATATATATATACATATATATAATGTACTAGTGTTCCTTTAGCAGACTAGCTCATAATCAGATGCATGTATTAAGTTGTATCTCTTTGCCCGATACTGTCCTAGACACACTAACCATTACAAATTACCATTTACAGTAAGATCGGCTGCATCATGATGACGATGCAGTTAGTTACAACAATAGGTTACAACACAACGTAAACAGACACCATTGTGCATCTGACTGAGACAGTAAGATCACCTTGCCAATGTAACAAAACAGCTTTAACGTACCATTCAGTTTAGCCAAATATCAGAAAACCCATCCACACAACAGAATGTTTACAAAGACAAGTTTTCAGAACAATAATAACCAGCTGTCCCACCTGTTTATCGCGTCAAAAAATGTTTTTAAAACACCGGTCACGATGGACGTCGCAAGTTGTTATGTAAGCGTCGCGCTTGGATGATGACATCTGTTGTTAGAATAAACCAAACCAGTAGATCGGCAATCCACGTCTTGCCCCATAAACGTTCTCTCATTGATTAGAACAATGGATAGTAAAAACGGTTTTCATGTCTCAACTCTTTACTGTGTATTATCAATTTAATGGATATTAAAATTTCGTAGTGTCATTATTGAGGTATTTTAATTATCGCCCAGTTGACGGCTTTGTTACGTGATACATGTTGCTTTTCTCCGCGCTGACTACAGTTGGCCAATCATCGTCGTCTGTGGTGTGTATAACATTTACAAAGACTACTTAGGGCGGGATAAATATTTTTGTGTGTGTGTCAGATTGTATTACATTTTAATTAATAGATTTTTTATTTGATGTGCTTCAGTATGCAAGTACCGACTGTGCGACATAATTGTATTAAGGTTTGAATGCGGAACAACGACGAATTGTCCTATTTGGGCCACCAAGAGCCCCCTAGAGGAAGAATTATTTTAGCAACTGTTAATGGCGACATATTTTTACAGAAATGTTTTACAGTCTATGCATTTGTAATCATATAGCATGCATGCGCAGTCCGCTGTGGTTGGATATGGCGGCGCTGGTTAGAGGACTGAGAGCTGGAAGGGCCCTGCGGGGTCTCGGCAGCGGTAAGCGGGGGACAGTGGCAGGGCTTCGGGCATTAACGTTAGCGGTTTAGTCCACAATCGTTGTTTAAAAAGTTGACAGTAGTTACACATGACATGCCGAGGGTGTATCTTGTAAATAGTTCTGCCTGCTTCCAAGTAAGGCAAATGTAAGTCAGCTGGGCGACTAGAGAAGGTGACCATGAAGGGCAGGATTGCGTGTGCAAACAAAATGTTGCACATTACAATCCATAACATTGAAGGTTGTGTAATTCAGCGTGATGGCAAATTTGAAATAACGGTGAACATCAACTGAAACGTGTGCAATTGCATTACACAGAGATAAGCTTTTACAAATGTTTTTCAAAAGTAAATGGTTTGCAAAGCAGGGAATACAATGCTAACATATTAACTCTTGTTTAAGATTGTTTAACTTTTATGAATCTGATCCATTATTTAAGTAAAGAAACTGAAGGCTCAGCGGTACAGATTTTTTAAAATGTTGGATTACAATGCTTTTATTACTATAATGTGTTATGGTCTAATTATGGAGTGTTTTGTTGCATGGTAATTTATTTGATGTTATGCACTATTACAGTTGCAGTTCAAGGCACAGTCAGTCCCCAGTGCAGAAATGTGAGACGTGGATTCCATTGTGCCACCCTGTTACGACTGGCCGATGACTCTAAAAGTGGCACATCTGTACCACCTCCATCCTTCCATGAGGTTCCCACAGCTGGAGAGAGCTCATCTTCTTCAGAACCTTCAGAAGATGGCCAGCCAAACACCAGGTTAGAGCCCCAATCCTCCAGACCTGATGGAATATAAGACTTGAGTTAAATTCGTCATACATTGATCAACCCTGCTGTCGTTTAATCTAACCTAGTCCATTTGGCTTCTCAGTTATCAAGATCAGAGTGGCGAACACGGCGAAGACTATGAGACGGAAGAGCAGCTCCAGGTTCGCATCCTGACCTCGGCTCTGGAGTTCGTTCCGGAGCACGGCTGGACTGTGGAGGCCATCGCAGCTGGAGCAGAGGTTTGTTTCTTAAAGCTAAAGAAAACATCAAGTATTGTAAATATTATTAGACAATATAACGGTAATTATATGCTTTGTGATTCAGACTCTTGGCCTGTCATCAGCTTCCACTGGGATGTTCAACAATGGGGCAGGAGACTTGGTCCTGCATTTCGTTGCACAGTGTAACGCTCAACTTGCCGAGACATTGGCAGAGCAACATAACCTGGTCCAGCTTGGCCAGGCGGAGTGAGTTTAATATAATTCATTATTTAATATGCTAGTATACTCGAGAAACAAGATTTGTGTCATTGTTAAGGTGTGAATAACAGGGGTTAAGAAGCCACCCCTAAAAACTGCATTTTATATAGATTTTTTAAATGGAAATTTTTATGGATTACATTTATGTGGATTTCATCGTGCAGCTCGTTACGACTTTCCAATGACTCTAGTCTAAAGTGACTTAAATCTCCTTGTGCTGAATTCTTTTAATAGATGTGTTTATTTAGAATTTTTATATAGATTTCTTTTCATTTTGTTATGTAACATTCAATATTATATTATATTGTTGTGGATTTAAGGTTTTATGTACATTTGTACATATCATAGCTACATATTATATTATTGTGGATTTATTTATAATTATTTTGAGTAAATGATAATATCAGTGGTTTATTTATGATTATTTTGGGTAAATGATCATATCAGTGGTTTATATATGATTATTTTGGGTAAATAATAAGATCAGTTACAAGTTTTTATGTTAAAAAAAATGTTACATAATATTATATTACAATATATTATTGTGGAGTTATTTATGTAAATTTGTCCCCCACATGTATTATATTATAGTGAATTTATTTATTTATGATTATTTTGGGTAAATGATAATATCACTGGTTTCAGTTGTTTTGTTGAAATTACAGGAACTAAACAAGCTTGAATGCTTATTTTAATATATTATATTATAGTGTGGATAAATAATTATAAATTGAATCAATTGTGAATTCAATTGTTTAGGTGTCGTAAATAAAACCTACATGTATTTTTGTATGTGTTAGATCAAAGGAAACTGCAGAGTTTCTGAGAGACGCAGTAGAGATGAGACTGCGGATGTTGATTCCTTATATTGACACATGGCCTCAGGTATGCGCTGCCTCATGCAGACTCCTCTCAAAACCTAAACTTCAAATGCTCAATCTTTAATAGGCAATCATTTATAAAAAGTTATGGAAGTAAGAAAGAAACACTATGTTGTTTATGTGTCCTCTGCCTTTGCAGGCCATGAGCATCCTACTACTGCCACACAACATCCCCGACAGCCTGAAGCACCTGTCCACGATGGTGGATGACATCTGGTACTACGCAGGCGATCGCTCGACAGACGTGAGTCGCTTCTCTGATCTCACTCGCTACCGTCCTCCTTTCTTTGGTCTGCTCATCCACCTGTATTTCTTCTCCGTCTTAGATGAACTGGTACACGCGGCGGGCGGCACTGACGGGGATCTATAACACCACAGAGCTGGTGATGGTGCAGGACTCGTCTCCTGACCTTGAAGAGACATGGGCCTTCCTCGACAATCGCATAAAGGATGTAGTTAACATGGCGAACACGGCTAAACAGGTTAACTGATGAAAGACAGACAATTTTTGTGCTATTTCACTCCCAAAATGTGATCAGCAAATATTATTACTAATATACTGGTTAATCTTTGTTTGGTTTAGGTGCAAGCCACAGGAGAAGCCGTGGTTCAGGGACTCATGGGAGCCGCAATTACGGTAACCATGCTAAAATACAATTTCCAGATAGAAATATATTAGCCCTAATACCAAGTCTGCTATTTCAAGTTGTTGGTATTATAGTGATAAAAAAAAAACATGCTTAAGGGTACTTTTACATGACAATGATGTACTAAAAAGGAAAGATTATCCTTAGCATTAACTCTTTCCCTACCATTTTTTCCCCTACCACCTTTAAAAAAAAAAAAAGATCAGGGTCTCGGTTCTTTCTTTTGATATATCGCATGTTCAGATATTCATACAACAAAACATTCTGGGGGGCATGAAAATTTTGTGAAAATGATCAAAAATGCTGGTGGTGGCTGGCAACTTTTTTTCAAAAAGTTAAAACTATCACCGTTCACACGGATCTGCGAGAATGACTAAAAACGCTGTATTCTGCTGCCAGGCCAGTAGTTGGCGATGTCACCTTGTAAAGAATCACTACATGCCTATAGACTGAACATGTAATACACACATGCATAACGTCACCGTTTTCACAAATTCGCATTTGTGTAGTTTACACAGACAATAATGTTATAGTTTTCAAAAACGTACACTTTGAAATCCGTTTAAAAAAGTTTGCTTTTTCAGGCCCCCGAAACGCTGTTGTCGTGTAAATGAAAGGCCAAAATGCATTAAAAGTTTTCAGTTTTTAGTTGAAAATGGTTTGAATTTTAATTTGGTAAATATTTATTTAAATATTACAAAATATGTTGATGTTATTACATGTTTAATGCTTGAACATTACAAAATCACTGAAGCCATAATATTCTATGTATTAATTTTATTTCATTTTTTAATAGTAAGCTTTCTTTTCTTACAGCTGAAGAACCTAACAGGGATGAATCAGAGACGATGAGTTTCTTCTGATGTTCCTGCCTTTGTTTTGTCTTGTCTTCCACTCGACCCCTCAGCCGAGCAGCGCAAATGTCTGACAGCTCACTCACCCGCTCTTAACCAACTAAACATGATAACATGATCACAAAGAAAGTGTTTGTGCTACGATACAGGGTTGATAATCACACCCGTAGCACTTTTAAATGGGTCAGCTGTGCCATACCTAATACCTCTGTTATGTTTGTATCGTAACCCGAGCCCAATGAGGAGCCAGTTTTCCTTTCAGGCATTGTAGTCTGCTGCCACACTCTCTGCATTTGTAAAAAGAAAAAAGAAAGAATATGAGTGTAAATTCTATTTGAGAGTCCTATGTTCATAACGTTTGTGTCTGACTCATTGGTGAAAAAAAATAAAGGGTAACCTATTTACAGAACAGTGTCTGTCTGTTATTTTTGATGTTGCAGATTCGACCAACTCTTACAAAAATGTTGTAAAAACTTCCATATTAATACATATAATTTTACAGTAGTAACCATAACTGTAGTGAATATGCTATTTTAAGATATCACAATGACTTAATTAGTTGCTGGGTTTAACAGTGTTTTAGTAATGTATTGTTCCAAGTCCACAAAAAGACATACAGACTTTTATTCTAGGTTGACGCATGACGGTTTCTGAGGACCTTTAGTATGTCTAACCGGAAGTGGTACTACAGTGATCCGGATGCTAACGGAACGAGGGCGGCAAGTGACCAATGAGCTGCTGTCGTTTGTTATTGTGGTGAAGAAGCGCTCGATGCTGGAGTGAATGAAAGACAGACCGCACATATAGTTCGTTTATTTATTATCGTCTTAATCTTGAGCTAAATTTCACTATGCCGTATGCCAACCAGCCCACAGTGAAGATCACGGAGCTGACGGACGAGAATGTGAAGTTTGTGATCGAGAACACGGATCTCGCGTGAGTGAAGTGATCATTTAGCGTTTTAAAGCAAGTGTGTTATATTAATGACATTGAAATATATGTTTAATGTGTTATTACTAACAAAAATATGATATTTTTAAATACATGATATTATTGATATCATCACTTTACCACGGTACCACCATATTAGCACATGATTTTAAAGCATTAAAGCCGCACAAATCCCGAGATTTTATACACAAATACACACTCTTTTTATTTGCATTTCAATATGATTAATATTTGTATCATTATTATTGAATATATTTTTAGAAATAATAAAATAAGTGTTAAAATATTCATATATATATATATATATGACAAACTAAAACCATAAAGATAAAATATTGAATATAACATATATTCATATTATATTTAGCAAATTAAAACCATAAAGATAATTTTATTTATTTTAAACTTTTTTAAAATTAAGTATTATAATGCTAGAAAATTGCAAAATCACTAAAAACAAGGTTTAAACTGTGTTTGACCTGCTGAGGCCAATGATCAACATTTTGTGCACCTTTCATTGACCTTTTTCACAAATTTTCACTCATTCATTGAAAAAGGAAGAAAAGGGTAGTTTCAGGCTCTATTTGTACCCCGTTCATAGGAAGTACCTATTACTATTAAATGTTTTTTAATATTTCTGTATTTTGTTTTTTATTCAGGGTGGCGAACTCTATTCGTCGCGTGTTCATGTCAGAAGTTCCAACCATCGGTAAGGATCAAACCATCTCAGTCTTCTAGATGTTTTTATTTCTAGCCTAGATAGTTTTTATACAGATAAGTTCATGTAATAATGTGTTTACATGATTCAATTATGCACTTTGTCTTTTAGATCTGTTAATCTGATGTAATGTGCTTGTTTGCCAGCTATCGATTGGGTTCAGATCGATGCCAACTCCTCTGTACTCCATGATGAGTTTATTGCACACAGAGTGGGTGCGTTTGTATAAAATCTTTCCAAATCTTTCATTTCATTCTTCTTATAATGCAAAGTGCGGCCTCTCAAAGTTATCATGCTCGTCTTTTATAGGGTTAATTCCCCTCACAAGTGATGACATTGTTGACAAGATGCAGTACTCACGAGTAAGTATTAAACTCTTAAATGCATTAATATGAATCATCTCATTAATTGAAGAGAAGTGGAACGTAACATTTAGCTTTCTTTGGTTTCCCATTAGGACTGCACATGTGATGATTTCTGTCCAGAGTGTTCGGTTGAGCTCACGCTTGACGTAAGATGTACAGAAGATCAGACGCGACACGTGACCTCACGAGATCTCCTGTCCAATAACCCCCGGGTCATCCCTGTATGTATATATTCTCCTCACAAACTCAAATACAGACACGGCGTTTTCTGATGGATCTTGTTCTTCAGGTAACATCCAGAAGTCGAGACAACGATCCCAATGACTACGTAGAGCAGGATGGTGGGTCCAGTTCCTCTGTATAATTTTCTGTATAATCACTCTGATGTATTTGCATTCATCATTTGAGTTTTTTCCACAGACATCTTGTTGGTGAAGCTGCGGAAGGGTCAGGAGCTGCGTCTCAGAGCGTACGCTAAAAAGGGGTTTGGCAAGGAACACGCCAAGTGGAATCCCACCGCAGGGGTGGCGTTTGAGTATGACCCAGACAATGCGCTGAGACACACGGTGTACCCACTTCCACAGGAATGGTACGGTTCTTATGCAAGCCTCTAAAATTGCGAGTAAATCTTCATGCTAGTCGACTAAATAATGTCTAGCGTTAGCCATTGGCTAATAATTAGTTAGATTTCACTTTCCATTGTTTGAGTTAGAGGCCAAGTATGAGTTTAGCACAGATATATTGAGCACTTACGAGAGTTTCACTCTTCGTCTTTAAAGCACACTATTGCAGTTTATCCATATCTGACGCACCGTAAACTGTAGTGTGAAGGCGCCCAACTCGCCGTCGCTTAGCTGAGAGCACTCTCTGTTTCTCTCACACATGCAAAGAGAGAGAGTGAGTCTTACATACCACGTAGAATTGACCCACTACATGTAAATTATATTCTCTGCTGTATTTTTCAGTCAAAACGGAGTTCATTTAGAATTATTCAGCCTTTAAGAACAAGCAGAAGCCACTGCCTATTACCGTCCCTCAGCAGATCAGTTCGAGCGAACGCAGATAACGTGATTTATTTATTTATTTATTTATTTATTTATTATGTACCTGATGACACATTGGTACATAAATGAACAAACTGGGAAAATCTACCAGTCACAAATGTTTCTTACCAGTTTTTATTTTTTTAATAAATAAATAATTAATTACATGAATATCTGTGTGTGTGTGTGTGTATGTGTATATATATATATATATACACACACTATATAATGTCAAAATGCCGGTCTTGGCAATCATTCATGCAAACAGTCAGTTATGTTCAAAGTGAACGTAAACGGTTGAGAAAGAAAACGCATGTGTAACAGTATAATAGACCCGTGTGTCAGGTCTTAAAGTGACAGCAGCCTAATATACCTGCTGCCAAATTATGATAATATTAAAAAAATATATATGGCAGTTTTCCACCATTGTATTGATGTCAAATTTGTGGCCGGTGAAAATGCTGTCATGGATGGATGGTGAGCAAAAAAGTTACTGTCAAAAAATGTGATGTATAATTCTGTACCTTTCCTTGATTGTCAGGCCTAAAAGTGAATATTCAGAAATTGAAGAGGATGGAGTTCAAGCTCCATATGATCCTAATGGCAAGCCAGAAAGGTAAGGGAGTTTAAACTCATACATACTTACATAAGGATATATGCAATGGAATTATTGTCCCTCTGTTGCACATATTTTGAAAGTGTGTTAAAATGTAGACAAGTTAATAATGCACAAAAAGACTAAATAACTGCAGTATTCTGTTTTATATTATGAGGAATTGCTTAAATGTGCTTGTTGCCTCCAAGCAATATTGTGATTTGATATTTTTATTAATTCTATATAAATATTAAAGGCAACACATAAAAAAAAAATCCTCATCATATACAATTTGCTTTTATTCAAAATCATATCTGTAATTTAATTGACATTGTATATGCATCATGTGCTTGCAAATTGAAAAACATTGTGAAATAGTTAATAAAAAAAAGCATGTCAATACAAAGAATTTTTTTCCCATTAAGGTTCTATTACAACGTGGAGTCCTGCGGTTCACTTCGGCCAGAGACCATCGTCATGTCGGCTTTTGCTGTCCTTAAGAAGAAACTGAGTGATCTGCAGACTCAGCTCAGCCACGAAATTCAAAGCGATGTGCTCACCATTAACTAAACTGATAAAATACTGCCTTTTTGGATCACGTTTTTGGGAAAATATATTTTTGCAGCTGATATTTGTTTCTTTGCATGAAACCTGTTATGATGGAGAATTCTATTAATAATAAACACATTAAAACATTGTCGTTTCATTCCATAACTAGCACAATGTGGGGGGAAAAAACACTATGAACACCAGAGGGCAGGGTTTGTGTGAGAAATATATAAAGAGGCTATTCTGTTCATTAATACATGATTGAAACACAAAAAGACAGCGTGTATGGTCATGACAAAGCATAGAACAGCATGCTGATAATGGGAAGATTTTATTTCAAGCAAAACAAGCCCTGAAATGGATGTAACAAATTTATATAAAGCCTCCCCGAGACAAACTATGTAAACAAAACACATGGCTACGTGAGACAGATTGACAACAGATTGTGCAATCATATTTATTCGTCCCGTAAATTTTGGTTGGTTCAATACATGTGTCGAGGGATTTCGAGGAAAGTGCAGTCACAAAAAAAAAAAATCTCTTTGATTTTAACCATGAATTCTAGTTTAGCACAAAATTACAGCAACATAGATCAAGTGAATGCATTACTCACAAGTGTGTGAGACAAATATGAAGAAACCGAACAGTCCCGCTGTAAATAGGCAGGAACTCCTGCGTCTTCATATAAAATACGTTTTTAAAATTGGATTCTGCGTAGACAACGATTCAGTGCTGTCATTTTTGCAATAAATATAAAGTATCTGTTTTCTGATATCGTAAAGTGTGATTGTGCGGTCACATGGCGATATTTCAGCAAAATTCCGCGGGCAAAAAAGTCCATCAGTAGCCATGTATGAACTATGAAGCACTGCCCAATACACAAGCTTGCTGTTGGTAAGCACGGCGAATTCGCGCGACGAACTTGAACACGAACTTTTTCGACATCACGCGAAATTTCGCGGATCAATGGTAAATGTGACCGCATTGTAAGTGGCCTGAAATATGTGCTCGTTTTGTTTTTCGTCAAGTATACACACCACACAAATCTACATTTTTACTTCTTTCTTTAATTACATTGTCTAAAAGAAGCAGGTGACAGCCATTATCTCGTTATTTTTCATATCTTCTAATTCACTGAGACCTATGTATATGTAAATTTCATTTCATAATAGTATATACTGTACTGTGGAATACTGGCAAAGAAAGACCAAACAGTGTTCTTTAAATTTGTGTATTGCTTCTTAACTGATACCACATATATTTTTGGCACACCACATATCAGAGTTAAATGTCATAAAAATTTCATAAATATTTCTATAAATCTTTAAAATACTGTGCTGTTTCCTAAAATAAGATATATAGAGATGATTACTCTAACTCCTCTAAGGTCGAGAGATAAGCAAACATATATATAATTTATTTCTGAATCTCTTCACTGCATACTTTAACGTTCATCATAAATTTATTTCATTCACAGCCACTCTCAAAATCGCCTTTCCCTCAGTTCTGACGTTACCCACAGTGCTTTGAAGGTGAAATGTGTAATAATGCTGGCTGTCCCTTCGTGTCTGTGTGATGTTTTAATCTCAAATATGAACATTATCTCCATTCTGATTCCATACCTGTGGGGTTTTATGGCGTTTTAAGTCCGATAAAATGGAGGCATCTCTGAGAAACGAGACTCTAACAATGGGAAAATCACAACTAAATCTTAGATAATCTAGAGATGTTGTGGTGTGTCAAATTGTAACACAGATAGGCACACATTGCAGTTACATGTTTAAATAAATAACATAATAAACAAATCATAACTTCTCCCAGTTGTTGAGCAAAGCAAACGGATTGCAGGACATAAAATGAAAAGGACAAGTTTTGGTTAAACAGGACAATGAGAATTTACACCTTGTGAAACCACTTAATATTTGTTGTAGATGGTTGTAGGTTTAGCTGCAAAAAAAAAAAAAAAGTCCAAATCAAATTTCAATAAAAACTTAAATAAATATAACAATTTATCGATATGAAGTCCTGTATCAGTTACAATTGACGACATTGATATGTATAGATTAAGGAGGTTTCCTGTAGTTTTGTAGACGTTCCTTTTTACCACCCAACAATCAAATGATTCTCATTACACTCAAAAATAAATAAATAAATAACTGGAAAATTCACCACTTAAAGTGAAAGACATACATACTGGCCCTTTCAGAATGATTGTGTCAGTGTTCAACTCAAAGCTGTCAAATTTGACAAATTAATTGTCAAATTCTACTTTACTTTGGTTCATTTCCATTCATCCATGAAACTTAATCTAGGTATTTCAGTGTACAGATCTTGTGTGTTCCTGTGAAGATCCATTATTTCAAATAAAACTTGCTGGAAATTAATACTGACTAGAAACAGCGCACCCTAGAGTCGACTGAAGGTGCAAATAAAATGTTGGAGGGAATGCCGCAGACTTCCTTACTGCATGGAAGACACCTAATAGTAAACCACAATTCAGAAAGACCAAAGAGAATTGTTGATCATTCAGACAAACATCCAATGTTAGCATATTACAAGACTCGAAGATTCAAGATGGTGGAGAGACCTGCTGCTTGCTACGGTTGCGTTTATTCGCACGTAGGGAGATTTGAACTCTGTTTTCAAGTGACCACGGCCCTTCTAGGACTGTCCGCAAATGAACTGAGGGACATCTAAATGCCCGCCGATCACATTTCAGAGATTCATGTACCTCTTGGTAAGAGGTTTAGGAGGGGAAAAAAGCAAGATATTTATTTCATAGGCAGCTGATACATAGACAAAGGTTCCCTTTTTTCCTGAAGAAATATTCTCTGTAGAATTGTCTTAGCAAATATAGAAAATGGATCCCCAGCTCTGCTGGTTTCAGTGCATTCAAAGGAGGCCAAAGTCCTTAAAAGCCCAAGTATAGCCAGCTCATGTTTGTAGTTTCCATACAGTGTGTTGGCTTCAATGTCCTCTATGGTGCCGGAGCTCTTGGAACGGAAACACAGGGAACCGTTTGTGCTTACGTGGATATTTTGAATGCTTGAGTTTCTTCAGGATGTGTCAGTTCCTAAAATCCACCAAAAAGCATGATAGGACAACAAAGTGTTCAAATTAGTGAACTGAAATAAGGGTAGAGGGAAAATGAAGCTTATGAACAAGATGCGTGGAGTCCTGATGAGGACGTCTCGCCCAGTCTCATCTGTCCAAGAGGACTTTCAGCGCCCGCTCGATGTTCATTCTGTGACCCACACGGGTCACGCCCAAATCGATCAGATCCTCCTTTTGCAGGTTGGGCAGGTGGCTGCCCTCGATATCGTTGTCCATAAAGGCATCCCTGTGCTCGCCCAGGTTCAGGCTCTCAAGCCAGTCAGCCACGTCCTGCTTGCTCCACATGAGGACGGGTTTGGTGGCGAAGGGCTTGTTCGACGCTGCCTGGATGAGGGTGAGCGGGGAAGGGGAGCGGCTACGCCCCGTGCCTAGGCTGAGGGGTGGTGTGGGCAGGCCAAAGACATCCGTCATGGTGGGGGAAGTGACCGAGGTCGGGAGGGAAGAGGCACAGCTGAGGCCAGAGTCTGGCGGGGACATGATAGGGCTCGGGGTGTGGTGGTGGGAAGGCAGGCTGTCGGCCTGTCGGCACGGTGACGGGGCAGGCACGTTGGGGCCAGGCTGGGCAGTGAAGGTAACGGTGGTGTTCTGCTGTGTACCTGAGATGAGGGATACACCATCCTGATTTCTGCAAAGACAGAAGGATAAAAGTGAAAGAAAATAAAGGAATATGTATTGAGATGGAAAACATATTACACTTGAGGGAGAATGTAAAACTTTATTCCTGCAAAAGATGCTAAGGTGTTGAAAGTGGTTGGCAGTTCTTAAGACCGGTGTTTTACATGTTGCTATGGTGTTCTGGGTGCTTACTGGTCCAAGTTAAAATTCTGTATGTTATGGCATGTTTTGTCTGTTTTATTGTCCGGCAGTCAAATGACATAGAAAACTATACCAGACCTCTCCTCAACAAACTGCATTATATAAATATGAGTGATAATATGAGTGAAACTTCTAAGTAATAAAGCCTGGGTGAAAAAACTTAACAAAAAAAACATAATTACTTTATTCTATAAAATCTGATACAACCACACATTTTTTTATTTACATTTGTGGTGTCCTATTTTTCCAAAACCTTACAGACTCAAGTGGATCTAAATCAAAAACTTCCTCTGGAAAGATGCCTTTAAGGATGAGACACTAGACAGATCTGTATATCTTTTTTTAAGTGATTCACACAAACAATGTCTCACTCCTAAAAAAATTAAGCCTATTATATTTAAATAAAAAAACACACAAAAAAAACAGTAAAATATTGGAACATCATGGTAGAATTTGTTTGAAATGAATTTTATTTTTGCTGATTTTAATAAAAAAAGTGTCCCGACAGCATTTACTGTTACATAAATGACAATTGTTTTGAGGAAAATCTGCTTTAATTATCATTAAAATAATGCAAAAATAGAAAACAGCATATTTTTTTATGCAAAAAGTATTGATTTTTTTTTTTTGGGGGGGGGGGGGGGGGACTTTATTTAAACACCAATGTATATTGACAGTATGTATGTACTGTAGGTGGTTTAGCTTTAAGGAGGCAGTGAATTAAATGCTCTTTAGCAATGCAATGTCCTTGCCCCAGGTTTCTTCTAATACCCAAGGTGCGTTGGCCTACATTTGTTGAAGTAAAACTTTTACATTTGCATCTGATGTAGCACAGCAAATAAAACCAAAGACTGACTCATGTAAAGAGTACTTTAACTATGAACAATATACTGTACAGTACACAAGTTACAAGTCCAGCCCATAGCTTAAGATTAACCTCAAATCAATGATACAGACAAACATGCTAATCTACCGCACTAGAAAATCTATTTCTATTCATAGTGAAGAAAAAAACCCATCTTTGCTCTGTGTGCTAAACATAGCGCTCTGCCTGGGCTACAAGTGCATTTTAGGGTCAGTTCTCTGGTCTGAAAATAACAACATCATTCAATTATGAATGAGACTTGAAACTGTCGATGTCGATGGCAAACCACTGCCTGTGCAATGTGGCAGCCATTGGTGTACTCAACCTTTGCAAATGCAAATCAAGACAATTGCTGATGTTTCACAAAATAAATGACACATAAGGTTCCAAATTGAATGAGCTTTCTCTGTAGGAATCATCAGTAAAAAAAAAAAAAACTGAAAATGGCGAAAGACACCAGATACATATTGTTAAAAAAAACTCTTCATGCAATACTAAATACTAAAAGGAAATGATCAAATTGTTTAATGTTAAAATTGTATCCAAAACTTGGGAGTGCAAATTATACATATGCTTATTAATGTATTGTGCCCACTGATCTATATAATGACTGGATAGCTCATGACGTTCTAAACTGCCACCAGGCAGTGAAGCCACCGGAAGTGTTCGAGCGGCCATCTTACGATTCCCTACCAGCAGAGGGCTCCAACGGCCGTTATACAGAGATCGGTAGCTCCGACGGCACTTTTAAGATGACCCGCTGCGCATCAACAAGTGTAAAACGAAGATCACAAAAGGGTCTTGAAAAACTGCTCACAGGATGTACTTTAATCCCATATATAGTAATTTATATGCACAATTGTCGCTATTTCCGTGTTGTTTCAATTTTTTTTATAGCCCACTATGCATTCTTTCACAGACGTATTCAAGTTTAAACCCAATAAACGTATTATTCAATGCATTACTTCTTATAAATTTAATTAAATGCATACATTTAATATTTTCATGTCAATCCGTGTTCAGTTTGACCACGAACCATGCGCTGTCACTTTAATTCAGCGCCTGCAGGCTGCAGCACAAACGATCTCTGCACGCACCGCACAGGTCGGGCATCCGCGTGCAGTGAAAGCTCCAACCTGTTGACATGGGTATGGTAAAAAATATGCACTACAAACGGAGTAGGCCTATGTGTAAACCCCTTATTTACACTGCACACATCTGCGGCGCATTATGGCTCCGACAATGTTTTATTCCTACCTTCACGCGGTGTCAACTCACACCGGGATAATTTCCACGTGATTTGCCGATTTGTGGGCGCGATCAGCTCCGGTAGCCGTGTCGCAGCTGTAAACGCGCCGCAGACGTGTGCAGTGTAAATAAGGGGTAAATAAGAGGTGAAACAGGTGTACATTAACCTATACAATTTGTATTATGCATTTCCTGGACATGTTCTTGCTAACTAATCAAATACTTGAACAGACTACTGATCTATCTGTAAAACACAATCAGAAAGAGCTAAATTTTAAGTTCACAATTCACATATACTTAATTTTTAGTAAGCAGGAATAATTTCCGACTTTAAACAAATACCCATTTAAATGCTTAGGATGTTTGCGTTGTAAGACTGTTCAGGGAGACTTTAGATTTAAAGACGGTGTCTCGTTATGCAATGTTTTCTCAGTCAAATCATACAATTTCCTATTGATTCAATAGAACGCGTGAGCTCACTAGGGAATCACAATATGGCGGCGCGGTGGCTTCACTGTTTATGACGTCATGAGCTATCCAGTCATTCTATATAGATCAGTGATTGTGCCGCTCTTCTCGCATCACCTGTACTGAAATCAGTAGGGAGTCGAAATTCCAAATGACACTTATGAGGTTCCATTTTAGTTACGATGCAGCTAAAAGCAGCCTATGTTGGCAGCAGACAGGAAGGCAGCTCAGTAGGTTTTCTGAAAGTCGGAACTCCTTATAACCCTAAAGGTTTTTTTTTTTAAATGAAATATAAAAGCCTTTAAGAAATTGCATAAGAGAATCTAGAGATATGTTATGGGAGCAGTTTGGGTGATGGGACAACTAAGTAACAAATGGTCCATGCTGTAACAACACACACATACCTCCTTCCTCTGTGGTACGGTCTGTGTTCATCATCACACTGACGTTGCTGATCTCGTCCTCAAGGCTGTTCTCATTATTGGGTTGCTAGGCAACTCTTTCGTTCTCCAGCAGAGCACACACACTAATCTGAGAGCCTAAATGTAAGCCTATGATACAGGAAGGAAAGAGGGCATACCTTGTTCCGAAGTGAGTCCTGGATCCCATTGGAGAGTCTAATGCTTCCCCTGACTTTGGTGCTTTGTCCTTGTTAACATGCTGCAGAACTGAATTGGCTTCAGGACCATGGGGGCCTTTCATCTCCGGAGGGTCACCCCACAACTTTGAGGTTCGTTGTGTTGGGGTTTTCAAGGGTTCTGGTGGAATAGATCCAGGGGGCGGAGGTGGGACAGAGGAGGGCATTCTGAAAGAGCTCACGTTCTCCTCTGGCAAAGCATCCTTGTAAAGTGCATTGCTCTTGATGGCAGGTTTAGGTTTTGGTTTGGACAGGATCTGAGACCTGTCCACCAGAAAGGCTTGTCCATCTGCATAGACGGTGCACGTGTCCAGGGTCTCACCTCCTTCAGAAGACAAGGTGGAGATGCTGGACACAGTAGAGATGGTGCTGGTGGTCTCCAGTTGGGGGTCACCGCTGCTCCGGCTGTCAACCTCGATGCCCGAGTCAGTGATTTGTTCGTAAGGCTCTAGTGGCCCAGGAGGGAAGCTAGGAGGTGTGCAGTTTGTAAGGACCGTTGGTCTTTTGATTTCAGAAATTCCACCACCTAATGGGGGATAGTAGGGAGCAAGAGAAGGCCCTTTTGTACCATTTGCTTTCTGTTTGAGCAGTTCAGCTATAGTCCCCGCCTGGTCTTCAGGAATGTCAAAACTGTTGGCAAACTCGAGAGGGGGTGGGAGGGGTTCAGCAAACACAAACTCTTCATCAATGTCGACAGAGGCCAAGGGAGGTGGAGGGATGCCGAAGGGCAACTTGACAGGCTCATCCACTGAGCTAACAGTTATGATGGTCTTGCCATGTGGAGCAGCTGATAGCGCCTTGGGAGCTGGGGGGTTGGTGGGAGCTGGCTGGTTGGGGTCGCGAAGCTCCCCAGGGGTGTTGTCGGGACTCACTGCCTCGTTCCTGTCGCCCTCTGACAAGCTGTTATCCTCCGATTTTGCCCCATCTGTGGTGTGTACCATCAGCAGACCAGCTGACTTTTGCTGAGAAGTGTCCACAATGTCAATCAGCATGTTCTTCTTCTCCTCAGGCCTCTTCTCAGGCTTGCCCAGATCGAGCTGATACTTGGATTCTGTCTCATATTTGGACTCTGTCATCTGCCTCCGCAGACCCCCGCGGGGACGGCCCATGGTAGCGGTACTTGAGAAGCCAACCTCCACATTTGGTCTAAGTTTAGTGTCGATGAAAAGCGGTTTATTAAGATCAAGTTTGGATAGGTCACTCTTTAGCGGAAGAGGCTGTGATTGCTCCCTCATGGCTCGGTCTCTGGCTGCTAACGCTAAAGCTAATGGTGAATTGGGGTCAAGTGGTTTGCCTGTTACCGGGTGAACGTAATTCCCACTTCCTGAGCTGTAGGTCTTATGAGCAGGTAGACTGATCGGGCTGTGTCCTGTACGAGTGCTCAACAGTTCCCTTACCATGGTGGGCTCAGGGCTGTTGAAGTCTGTCACATTGCCTCCACCTCTAGGGATGCTAAGTAGTGATGAGGGAGGTGCCATAAGCCTACGCAGCCGCTCATCGCTGCTAAACATGCCCTCATCTATAGATTTGGAGTGTCTGAGACGTGGAGCCGGTCTAGGTGCCACATCCTCATCACCCGCATCTGTGGACTTAAAAGATGGGGAGTTGCGATGAGCATCAAGCCTCTTCTCCCTGTCTCTGACTGCACCGGCAATGGCAGCTGCAAAGGGACTGCCTGCATTTAAGCCATCTTCAGGACGCAGTTGCCCTGGGTGATCCGGTGTGGTCGTTTCAATTTCCATGCTACTCCCTTGACTGCTCTTACCACTGCTGCTGGTGGAGGGCTCTTTGATTATTATTGTAGGAATTGGAATGGAGCAGGTTTTCTCAGGACTGTCTTCTACATTGGATTGTTTGACAAGCATTCCCTTCCTTCTTGCAGGCTTGTTGGGCACAAACAGTCCAGCATGACCCATCTTGCCCACATCCGAGTAAGGGTTCTCAGGGATTAGGGCACGGCGCATATGAAGACTCTGTTGGGCTGTTGGGCTATGATTGTACCCCTCGGATTCATACTGCTCAGGACTGTCTCTGTAAAACATGCCCTGATCTCTCCACCCAGCACCTTCACCTCTGTCTGGGGCTGTGCTGTTTGCATTAGGACTCTGTGAAGTAAAGCCTGGTCTGATGGTGCCGTATCCTCGACCAGCTGGGACGGGAGCATTATTATGAGGTGGAGATGGAGGGGAGATGGCTGGTGGTGGTGGAATATCCTCTGATGTGTCAGGCATTGAAAGGCTTCTTGTAAATTTCAACATTGGAGGAGTAAGGAACTGCTTCTCTTCTTCGGTTACTCCTGTAAAGGAATAAAAGAGGAAAAATCAACAAGCCTGGGGGTGCAATCACCATCCGGAAACAATAAATATGAAACAACAAAGCAACTTCTTGAAAATATGTCACATTAGTGAAAAAACACATAGCAAGAGTGGGCTGACCACTGAGTGTAAACCAAATATTTGTATCATTTTACAAAGAGCTGAAATATTTTTTTGTGCAATTTGTCAAAATAAAGGACGGGATAAAGATTTACTTCAGCAACAAAACAAAATTGAACAACCACACACCTATAGATGTTTGCCGCCGTATGGTTCCCCTTGGTATACCCAGGAAGGGGCCTCTAGGACTCCCTGGCTGTTGTGGTGAGTCTACTGCTGCATCCTGACTATTGCAGAGAGACTACAAAAGACAGAATAAGGCTGACATGATAATAAGGACACGCAGAATGCAGCACTTTTGCAGAGCATCTTTTCAAACTAGGCTTCACATAATATGTTGAAATTATTTCATTAAAAGAGACTAAAACGATGAAATAAAAATGTCAAGCAGTGAAGCATACTCAAAAGCCTGTACATAACTACACTCTAATTTAGGGCATGCATGGGCAACAGTCTTACCAGACTTGTGAAAAGTGGTTATTTCAGTTAGGCTACAATACAATTCTTAACAATGCCATGGGAGTCCAGAACTCTAGGGGACATTAGACAAGGCACGCTTACATTCATTTCAGGGCTGACAGCAAAACACTTGCTAGTTGGGCGTGGTTTGACCGCCGCCACCCTCAAATCTGTGTTTGAGTTGTCCCACATTGGTTTCTGGGGGGGTACGACCTCATCCACTTTATCTGTAAGACAACAGCATCTTAAATTAGAAAGCAGGAAGCTACATTTAAAATAAACTCAGTATCAAATATTGCTAATTTCCTTTAACATGATCCTCAAAAACAAGGATCCGAAACCAAGCAAGGATCCGAAACAGAGCAAAAAAGGCGACAGAAATAGATACAACGACAATGGTCAAGGTCAAAGCCGTGCAAGCGCTTCCTGGTTCCGTTAGAGAAATCTTAGCACTTCTTTCAACGGCCACTGCGCAACATGCTAGCATTTTTTTTTTTTTGACAGCTCCCATGCATGGGATGATTACTTAGTGTGACTTGAAATACAATCCTCTTCTTCAGACCCTCATTATCTGAAAGCTGATCATCTACACAGAAATGGAGGAAAGGGAAATTCAGAGTCTGATTTCCTAGCATAAAAGTGAAAGACTGAATCTGGTAAGTTACACACACACACACACACACACACACAAAAACCCCTGTACACCTGGCATTAAAATGTTTCGTATCTGGATATTGTTTAATTGGATTTAATTATTCTTTACAAACACACTTCCTTGCATCATTTATCAAACTTTAAAATCAGTGATGACAACTTAAAACGATTTCTGTTATGTTGACAGACAAAATTAAGGTATAGTGTTTCCCTAAATTCGAAACATTCCCACAGTAAAATATGCTAATAAGGAGAAAATAAACTTTAAAGCACCCAAGATTAAAAATCAGGAGAGATGCTGACAGATTTGTTAATTAAGCCAGGTGACCCAAGCGCATGACTGCAGTATAATTTGTGTCAGATAATTATTGTAGTGCTGCATTATCATTATAATTTCATCATCTGCATTTTTAAGCAGATAATGAAATGCGCATTATCATTTACAACTTTATCGAATGTGGTCAGAATTTGTGCCTGACCACCTCAGAACGAGGTTTCAGTGGTTCAGTTACAATACGTTTTACACTTGGGTGCTATTTATGTGGTCAAGTGCTGACCATACATATCTGGAAATGCTTGTTAATGCCAGGACTAAAGGGGGCCAGTTACACCTCTTCATTCGACATTATATGGATATATACACTCAGGTTTTAAATTTAAAATCCCATCATAACCCTGAGGCGAAGCTTATTTAAAAAAGAATACTACAAAAACTGCCCATTCAGAAGAATCTGTCTAGTTAATATTCATAACAGAAAGCATATCAGACTGCAGAAAGAGTATGCATTTGTTTTGTTTTTTTATAAACAAGGTAATATCTATATATCTTGATAATATCTAAATATGGATTTAAAATGACCCTCTTTGATGAACTCAATACGTACAAGGCTGTTTTAAGGACACAGCAGGTCTACTATGCAGCCAGTCATATTATGTAAACATAAAACTAATGCTTACAACGGTTCAGAAAATATCGTCTTCAAGAAGACAAAGGAGTCCATTCAGCAGCCTAAAGATGTTGTATCATATCTGTGCATCAGTCACAGGTCATCATATTCCTGATCATTGATAACAGTGGTGATAGCTTTACAATGAAAATATGGCATTACATTTTGCAGGTGGAATGTTTCTATATTAAACATATGCAGCATTATTTCCATGGCAACGTCTTGTTTTAGAGAGATTTAAAGCTGGAGCAATCCCTCGTATGATAATAGTTAAAATGTAGTTCTTTAAAGGAAGAAATTATCTTAAAATGTTTATCTTCTCTTTGAGGAGCGAAATGTAGGCAGGATCCATTATATCAGTAGGAACAAGGACATGTATCTGAAGCCAGTTTTGGCATGGGAAATTCGTGGCTCTTGTTTTCTCAAGCGCATCCTTTTTATAATAGAAGTCAGGCTGTTGAATAATATATTCTTACATTGCACTTTTGAAGATCTAGGGGGTCAATAAGTGAAGCTAAAGGCTTATGGAGCATTTTGCAGTGTAAACACATTTGGTCTGTTTTCACAGTAAGCAGTCTTCCATTCAACTGGTAAATTTTGATTATTGGAGAGAGAATACAAATTATTTGCACATTTTTTTCACTGAATGATATCAAAAAAGCTAAATTGTGTTAGAAAAATAATTACTGTTGCTAAGCTGAGGTGACAAATATTTAAAGAGTGCTTAGGGAAAACTCACCCTTCTTTTTCCTCAAAGTGGCTTTAACATAAAAGAACAATTCAGCTTTATTCAAGTATTAAAATTCAGAGATAATTTCCAGAAAACATGACGAGGAGAACCAACGTTTGGAATACACAGTATTCCTCCACATGGCATTGACCTGTGCATAATGTAATGCCATTTTAGACGGAAAGCAACAACAAATCCATGCAGTTAACTTTTCAACACTACACAAGACAAGTAGATTAGTATCCAATATAACAAAGTGACGAAAAAGACAATTAATTCCTGATTACACAATATAAATAAGGATTTAATACGCATGTAATACTGCTTACCATTTGTGCCATTGTTTAATTACTAATAATTAAGACAGCATGACCCATCAAACCCTAGATTTAGCTGTGGTCACCAGAATAAATCCTTCACAATCCAACAACGATCCGCTCAGGTGAAATGCGTAATGCTTTTACAGTGAATGTGAAGGTAGTACTTTTGTTTTCTTTAGTAGGGACTACACAAAAACTGTGTATGGACACAATGTCCACATAATCAAAAATCTCTGTCTCAAAAAAATACATATAACAAAGTCACATGCATGCCAGGGAAGCACAGCAGTACAATTTGTACATACAATTTGTAAACAATATTTTTTTAAATAATCGTATAATACCTTTATCCACTTTTAGGTCAGCATGCAGGAAAACAAAACAACATCAAAGTTCATTTCATAATGAACGGTAGCTGTAGAACAACAAAAAGTGTCACAGGTTAAAATGCATTCACAAGAAATTTTTTTGCTTAAAAACAGCTAGACGTAACAGAACAAAATGGACCTGAACCTTTTAACTTGACATGTCGTCTTAAAAATGCAGCTCTCATCTCATGAGACACCAAAAACACAACACAATGCAACGTAACCTGTGTGAATGGTCCCTTATCTTGTTTAAAAAGTATTAAGAGAAACTAGACATTAAATGAGATGCTTCTGCTTGGCTAGACTGGGCTTACCTAGGTCTTCTAGCTCTGAGGTCATAGATTTTGAACGCATGGACAAGGCTGTGGAGGGAGCCCTCCGTGGTGGTGGTGGTGCTATAGCAACAAACCAAAAAAAAAAAAAAAAATAGAGCAGGTACAGTAGACGCTTTAGCCATGGGCTGTAGCATTCCCATGGGGAGGCATTGTATACAAAAACAACTCATGCATTCAAGGTTTGCCGATTCACATTTTAAATAATGAATGCAAAAGAAGAACTTAAAAACACAAATTAATAGTGTTATTAAAATCAGTGATTAGTAAAACTAACATTAGCATTATGGAAAAGCAATGGTTAGAATCACATGAAAGGAGTTTTGTCAGCTTAATTTTCATACGTATGACTAAACATGTTCCTTCATGATCCAGTCAGTCGGGAAACCCTGAACAAATCAAGACGTTTACCTTTCTTTCGAGCCGTGTCATCAGGGTCTAGATTTCGACTGACCGTCACCACTTTGATGATTAAGTGGTTGCCGCCGTGACGAATCATGTTGACCACTTGTTTGTGGCCCACTTTGACAACATTGTCCTGGTTCACCTATAAAAAGAGGAACAATTAAGCATCAGCAGTGGTTTACAAATTATTTCCTTTACAATGAAAATGCCTTTTAGGCATGTTAAGTAGGGCTGAGACAACTAAAAACTTGTTAAACCGCACCACCGCGGTGGCTGAGTAGCACCAGTGGTGGTCCGCCAAAACACATTTTTTTGTATGTGAAAGCTGTTTTACATTAATATTATGACACGAGTGAAGCACAATATAAATAATAGGTTAGCAATTAAATGTTACATCGCAGCCATGGAAACATTTGGATTCATGACGAATGAGAGAGTTGTGCGTGAGCCCATAAATTTAAGCTTTGTCGGCTTTGTATTCTGGTTTGCGATCTGGTCACCCGATTATCAGCGAATTTAACAATAAATTAGTTATTCCACTGGACATGGAATCTCTTGTTTCTTTTCCCAAATCTTCACTCATCTCACCCATTTTCAAAGGGGATTATAAACATTTCTTCCTTGGTTAGCTTTTAATTAGGCCTATTATATTCACATTCTTTACTGTGGTAAAGTAGAAAATAGCCTACCTTTTTACTTGCATGTCAAATTCTTTTTAACACAGTTTGTGCTTGTTATTAGACTTGGTAAGGCACGTCAAGTTTATTTGTAAAGAGCGTTTCACATGCGCGGGTGATTTTAGTATTCTTTCTCTGTCTTTCTTTGTTACTTTCTCTGGCAGCGCAAAATCAAACATAGCCTAAATGCCTTGCCCTTGAGGAAGATAAAATTCACTCTTCAGACCTTTTACAACAAGTAGCTTTCCTGCTCATGTCCCACATCCCTCTCAAAGCGCAGAGCGGTAGGCTTATATGACGCGTCTTTGTGTGGAAATCGAACGTTTTTTTTTTATATTTAACTTTATTATATTATTTAAGTTACCATTATTTACTGATATTTATTTAATGCTTTACAGGCTTTAGTGTGTTGTTTCTTTGACGGAATTGCTCAAATAAACACGCATGTCTGTTGCGAAATGGATGTTTGAGCCTAGTTTATTATTATTTTTTTATTTCAAAACATCCCCCCCAACCACTGCGGGTAGTTGGTCCATTACCACTGCGGTGGTAAAGAACTGCCACCGTCACAGCCCTAATGTTCAGATGTTTACAAAGGAATAAAAAGTCAAATGTACTGTTGTCACAAATTGGCACTGTTGTGCATAATTCAATTCCTGCTTTTTGCTGTAAAAAAAAAAAACAGCAGACGAATTATTGTGTTGATGTACATCTTACTGGGCTGGATATATGTTCAGAATTGGATACTAGCGTACAGTACCTTTAGTGCATACATACTTAAATAATATATATAAAGTTTGGGGTTAGTAAGATTTTTTTTTAATAAATAAATGAATACTTTAATATCGAAAGAACGCATTAAATTGATCAAAAGTGACCGTAAAGACATTTACTGTATAATATTACCCCCAAAAATCACTTTCAAATAAATGCTTTTTTTCACCATTGATAATAATAGGAAATGTTACTTGAGCACCAAATTAGTTTCTAAAGAATCATGTGACACTGAAGACTAGAGTATTTTTTTAAATACATAAAAATAGGAAAAGATTTTTTTTTTACTTTAAATTTTATTTCATGATATTATTGTTTTTACTGTATTTTTTTTAATCAAATACATGTAGCCTTGGTGAGCAGAAGAGAGTGAAATATTAGTTGCTTGCTTGATATTAAGGGAAGGATACATTCTCATTCTAGAAAACATTGTACAAAAGTACAAAAATGTGTACAAAGGCGTTGTCATAAAATTTTGGGTAATTTTTTTATCAGAAGACAAAAGCTGAATCGTGTAGGTGCGTATTTCATTTACTCAAATTTTAGGAGTGCACTACAATAAATACGGCCTCAAACAAACAGACTAAAAGCCCATAAACCTCCAAATCTTGATTTAATAGGCATAAACTTCGGTTTACTACATCATAGTGAAGTAAATTGATCTTGAGCATTCAGCCACCCGAAGGGTTATAAAATCTTGCAAGTTTGTAATGGTTCCTGGCAATGAAACAGAACAAGCATCAACACCAAAGTACACTAGCCCTACTAAATTTGCTATCAAAACATCATTTATCTCCCAATTGCCCTATTTAAACCAGATATACAAAGCCATTATTTTATCCACAATGTTTTAAAATTTCCTTTTGTCCTTATACATTTTCTTCACTTAAATGGTCACAATTCCAGAGGGAGCTGTCATTGGAAAGGCATCAAAAGGTAGTAAATCAAACTGGGGTTTAAACGTTTAAGTGGGACATTCAATCTGCCACCGAGCCGGTACTGGTGAGCTCAATTGCATTTAGCTACAGCAGAGACGATTTGCCAATGGTGATAATCGTTGATATATGGGCAACATTCATCACCAGATATTTTTTCATCATCGCTTTTCAACAGAGGTGTAAAGTCCAATGACTCCAAATCTCCAACTGGACTTAAATTCAGGGAGAAAGAATTTAAATTCAACATTTTTTTAACATTTGTACTGCATGAAAGTGAAGCACACACTCCCAAAACTATTTGAAGAGGCTCTAAAAACTATTTGACATAAGTTACCTCAACTTTAGACCACAGAATGGACCACAGTTTGGAAACAACACTAGATTTTTTATTTTATGAAGACAATTGAGTAGCACCTGCTTGTGCAAAACTCATGCCAGGATCTTGCAAGGGCATTGCCATGGTGTTCAGAAAGGTTGCTAGGGTGTTCTGGGTGGTTGCTAGGTGGTAGCTTACTGACCCGAGGCAAAAGAGGCAAAGAAAACCCTAAAAAAAACAATATATAATTCTGCCAGGCAAAAATCTGAATGAGTAGAAAAGTAATATTACACCAAACCTCAACATGCCACATGATTTGACAATCACGATTGTCATATGACCTAAAGTAAGAGAAATAGCAATAGTGATAGTTGCCTTAGCAAGTAGCACTAATGACTACGATAAAGATGTTGATATGCTTTGATATAAATCGTCTCATAAAAGGCACTGCAGGCAAATTAGAGAGACACCCCTGCTCCTATGGCATTTCTCTAGCAAAACGAGAAACACCGTGACTATGAAACAGATCAGCAGAGAGAAAATGAGAGAGACAGGTTTGGGAGAGATCTTAGAGTATGCCTTTTACCGAAGAAAAGGTTACGTGAATAAGCTTGGGTAACCTAGGAAACAGCCGAGAGAGCCGAAGTCGTCTTCATGACGAAGAGAGCTTTGCTGCTCCTTTTATTCCATCATGTGTGTTTGTGTGATTCATAAATGCTGCGAGCGTAATAGAGAGCAAGGGACTACGTATGTGAGCATATGCGAGAGAGATTGCCATTGTTCCAATTAAATAAAATTAGCTGTACACAAGTAAGAAAGCAAGCCGTAATCAATGTGGGATTAGGAGTGAAAGGCCCACATGGAGAGCCAGGAATGTTCAAAAAAAGTAACAGCCTTTAATGTTAATCACAGTTATCTTTTCTACATCCCTACTGTGATTTTCATACTGTGCATTCCAAAGGCACCAGAAGACAAAATAACTGCCTTACATCTTAGAGCTTGACCTTATGACAGATGATGTAAATTTAGAGAGATTGAGAAGGAGAGAGAGAAAGCTCTGTGAATCATGAGCTGTACTCACAACTCTGTGCAGATTTGAGCAGTGCTCTAGATTTTGGTGAGTGCTGAAGGAGGAGGATGGGCACAAATTTCCTAGCATTCTCACTGACCTCTAGTCTCTCGGCATGTCACACACTGGTAATGAGATTTGGGCTCATTTAGGAAGTGCTGGGACCAGATGTAGATAAAGCTCACAAAACAGCACAATCTCACCATGGCCACTTCATCTTGATAATCTCATTATGCCGGAGCAGAGCTAAATCCAACCAAGCTGAGCCTGAGCACAGGAATCTGATTTTTGTGTTGGTTTTAATACAAGGACATGGAATATGGGTCATTATTTACCCACCCTCATGTCGTTCCAAACATGTATGCTCTCTTTTCCCCTTAAGATACAAAAGAATAATTTGGAGAAACTTCTTACAGCTTTGTTAGGAGTGACCACAGGCTGCAAAACTCTAAAAAGGAACCTATAGCATCATATCTGATCATATGAATTACTTTTATAGTTGTTGTTTTTTTGACAGTCTATAAATTATCATTGCAGGTATACTGGTTTGGACAGCATGAAGGAATTACATGAATTTATTCACCCTGATGCAGAGGTAGAAATTTTGAAGACTGTCCATCTGAGCAGGAATTAGCTAAAGAAGGCTGAACTACCTTAAAAAAGCAACTAAAGCAATAAAATGTAATATTTTTAAAGATGCATATACTGTATAATGATATATATTATTTGAACTTTTATTTTACAAAAAAAAAAATTCTGCTTAAAGAGCATATTGCAGGTTATAAAAAAACCTAAATTAATATATAACCTTGTATGAAAATACCATATAAAAAGTTAATGTAGGATTTAAAATGTTTTAAAACGATATAAGGGCACAAATTTAGTAGATCAAGTGAGCGTTTCTTGGACTGCTCGTAAAAACGGCTTTTTTTTCAAAATCGCGTCATTTTACGTCACGCTAGGGAGCCTCAGCCTCGGCTCAGTGCAGTAGGCTGGTATTCAGTGAGAGCGGCCGTGCGTCAGTGTGTTTTCGGTAGTTTTTGTATTTTAATTTATCATCGTCATGGTAAATTATTGTTTGTGGAGGTTGCAAAAACTCCGGCCTGTCAGGACATCGAGTCCACAGGTTTCCATAACAAGAAAAGGGACGGTGTTGTTGTATATCTTTCGTGCCTGGTGCGGTTTGTGCAGGTGAAGAGACGGGATTTCTCTTCCGCATCGGCTTCGAGAAACGCGGTCGTGTGTAGCGTTCACTTCAGATCGGAGGATTATCATCCCGGCGATATGATGGAGTTCAACATGGGATGCCGAAGCAAAAATATTTATCGTCTAATACTGTACCAATGGCATGAAATAGTGTGATATAGG